AGAAAAAAATCTTGCATTTTCGCCCTTTCCAAGTGCATAATCAGTATCCTGGATATATAACATAAAACTAAGTGAAGGGGCAAGGCAAGGTCAAGAAACTAAACAAGGTAGAACCTCAGCTTCAAATTATGGAGGGTCCTAAATAATTTGAAACTAAGTACATTAGATAAGCAATACAAGATAAAATAAAGATGCAGATAAGTGAATAATCAGATTTATGATAAGGAGAGACTTCTATCCAAACCGAATGTTATGAGAGCAACAATCTTCCATGTATCTCCTACTGAAAGACCTATTACCACACAGAATCTGAAAATTCAGAAGCTCATGTTATTTTATAGCTTACAACATTCAGTGGTTCCAGAAATGTTTGCTGCCCACCCAACAGAATCAATCTCTTCCTTCAAGACCTACATCCTCCATTAACTACAGACATTTTAAAAGTTCCACATTACGCACCTCTATTTCAACACAAAGTTCATTGATATTACCATTCCGGGTATTAGCTGAACTCCTTTTGCCTTCTTCAAAACAAGAAAAAATAAATCTCAATGACACTTGTTTTGCTACGCAATCATTACAGTAATCAGGAACAATCAAGTGACCAGATCAGGTAATAGGGCATGTGCCTTATCCTTCAAGAGAGATATTGACTGTGTCAATATGCTGGACGTTACTTATCTCTTGTCAGTCAAAAAGAGATCGAAACTACTTCAATGTGGATCCTCATTACTAGATTAGAGCCCATCAGAAGAGGAAAACTATGGTATAATCATATCCCTAACACGCTACTAGCTCCTTCAAAATAAATTCCAAAGGCTAAAGGGAAACAAACACCTTTTGCAGAATCAGATGCCGAAGACTCAGCAACACAAAAACACTTTTTGGCACCTGCACTTTCTTCTAGTCACTCGAGTAAAGTCATGCAATGTGTAGCTGCTACAATATACCTTTATGTCCTACTTCACACTAAACTCCAAGAAGAATCTCCATTCATCATCATTGAATGGTTTATCTCAAACAAAAGGAGAGGTAGTACTCATGCTCCAAAGTAAATGTACATCTGGGTCTAAATGCTAACAAATAAATGGAGAAGCTCCACAGCCTCTCAAGTCTCAACACGTGGGACCATAATTGTGAGACCATCTTGGTATCTACCGTACAAGGAAGAGAGATTAAGGATAGGGGAGAGCAAGGAAAATGATGTTTTTCCTCTCCTTCAAAGTGAATCCCTAGCAACTGCAATTTTACAGCCTTCAAGATATCGATAGCTTTCCTTTAAATGTTAATCGCTATCTCCATTAATTGAGATGCTTTGGAGAGAAATCAACAAACTTTCAACATTAGTATTTCCATTAATATTGCTGAAAAAGATATTAGATTTAACCATTTTACATTGGCTTCCAAATACTAGAATCACAATAAACACAGAAAAAAAAAGAAGAAGAATAAGAAGATAAAACAGATACTGATGTTGGTGTCTCTTGTGGCTATACTTTTTTCTCATTTATTGCAAGTGTCCGACATATCACTAGACGACATAGTAAATGCGGCTCCAGGAAAACATTTTAACAGCTAAAACACAGGCAATCATAAAACTTGAATAATTTACAACACACAAAATGTTCCTTTCGCAATCGATATTTTGCTGCCCGATCCATAATGCCTTTATTTCCCAAAACCACATAAAATTAAAACAATCAATAATTTACGCTGAACTAGCAAAACACAATTTAAAACTGAAACCCAAAAATGTCAAACAACATCATTTATCTGCAAACAACAATGTCCACTCCATTAAATGCATTTAGCTTCAAATAAAATGACATTGCATGAAAATTGCAAGTGCGAATACGAGTTTCGCAAACAAACTAAACAAAACCAAAGAGGAAACTCCAATACCAAATGTAAATCTACATGTCCATGACTAAAATGTACAATGGCAAAATATTCTGATCACATGATCCGTAGATGCATACAGCACGCATTTAGGTATCTACATTATCGACGTTCAAACACAATTTTCAATAACCACATTCAGAAAACTTCACAAAATCTCATATAAAGAGACAAACTTTAGCTGCAAATCCAGGTGATCACATACATATTGAACACGCACCCGACTGAAATGGGAAATACCACTCTGAAATATATATTCAACAAATTCCGTATACTGACAAATCTTCTAATCAGGTGACCCAGCCATAAACACATGCACGGGTATCAGTATCTTACAGAACTAACATTTATATACAAATTTCGAAAACCACACACAAAATCCGATGAAAAAAACTTGGATACTTCCACCCATGCATATAATCGTTGCTCTTGTACTTCCACGTATAAACAAAACTCCGTCGCTAGACAACCAATTCAGAAGTAAGAAATGAATTCAAAGCAGTAGTCTTTATGAATTTAGCAGCTAAAAGAGAGCCAAAAAAGAGGCAAATGAAATTAAGCTACATACCTCATCTTCAGCATTCGAGTGATGCTTATAAATTGACCTAAGAAAATGGTACCGCTCCACCAGCGACTGTATATCAACCAATTTCCCAGTCGCAAACGCCAACGCCGAGCGGTGCAGACAGTCCAGCTCCAACCTAATTGCCTTATGAAAAAATAGAAAAAACAGGATCGGTGAATTCGAATTCTGCTCAGAGATTTCCTCCACAGTTCCTCCATCATCGGGCGCCGGAGCTGGAGACAGCGAGTCCAACGCATTGCTAACCGCTCCGCCACACAACACCACCGCCACTCCACCTCCACCTCCCTCTCCTCCCTGCGCGGCCATTCCGCCTCGAAAAAACTCTCACAACCCTCAAGTCTTCACTTCCTTACGACCGAAAGAAAAATATCGAAAATTTTATGCAGCATAGCAAAATGTTTTTTCGGAAGCTTTAAATATATGCAGAAAACTGTAGGCATCAATCACAGTTTTCTCTGGAGCTGACTTCACACACACACTCTCTCTCTCTCCCTCTAGAAAATTCTTTTCTTTTTGAGACTTCTGTCCTGTTTTATATTTGTCTGTGAATGTTTGTCCTGCTGTGGAGCTGTTGAATTTTTTAAACTCGTTCAACGTTGAAGAGGATGATGACGGGATGAGGTGGAGACTGAGGGAGCATCGAAGTCGGTGGGCTTCAGCTGCACCGGACATTGGATTATTTTCCGTTGACAAAAGCTACTGTAGTAATTTCCGTCTAGGTTGGGAGGGTTGTACGGCGTGTCAAAGGGTAGTAATTTGGAAGAGAGGTACAATCTGTGATGCGGGATTGGAGGGAGGGAATTCTCTGGTGTGAGGGTTGACTTGGATCCACGTAGTTTAAATTAAGCCACGTTGGATGGATGGTTTCCAGGGGAGACCAAGCTGACACGTGCCTGTGGCACGTGAGGGAGATGGATTGGCGTGGTTCCACGTGCTGTGAGGGATCGCTACGTAGATGTGGATGTAAAGAGTAGAGTAGTAGTGTAGTAGTGTACAGGATTAGCATGTAGGCAATTTGCAAATTTAGTCCTGTACCAATTTTAAAATCCAAGGGAGGCCCCTTTAATTTTATTCTAAAGCCATTATAACCTATTTCAGTTTTAAACTTCTTTTTTTTTCTTTTTTTTTGTGTTTGTTTGTTTTGTTGTTGTGGGGGGGGGGGGGGGCACTCAAGCTATCATGTTGCTAGTTAATGTGCATTTTGTTGAGCCAAAAAAAAAAATGAAGTTCAAAATGAAACTCATTTTTTCGTGCATCTCAACAAAAATAGTCTAATTACATTCACATAATTTTACATATTCTGTACATAAAAAAGCTTATCATTAATTGTTACGTTTACAAAAACTATGTATCTTTTCTTCTTGCACAGATTGAGCATTTCATTAATATTCACGGAACTTAGAAATTTAATGACAGACAGTTTTGACATTCAATCTTTAAGATAAAATATGCGAGTTTTTATCCCATTTCTTAAAAGCAAACACAAACGGTCGGTCTTTATCATTGGAGAAGAATCAGAATATCATGCTCAGTTGATCATAAATTCCCTATCAAGTTGTCTGCTGATTGCTACTGGATACCAGCATGATTAACATCATGAACATCAGTCATCCAAAAAGTTAGTACTAGGTTAATTTGATACCATCATCTCCTGAAATATTGACAAGACCTTATTCTTTTGGGGGAAAAAAAAAAGGCCTAATTCTTGTTCACTTTAAATTTTGCTTAAGTTGATTATGAAAGTGATTATAAAGAAAAATCTGAATCAGTAAAAGCTATTCCTCGGTGTATTATAAATTTTAGCTTTTTTTAAAATATTAAAAAAAGTATAATCTAAATACAAAGAGCAAACAAGAACATAATTTTTTTAAAAAGAAAACTAATTTTTAAAAATCAGAGTCTATAATCAATCGAAATAACCTACCAAAAAACAAGCCAAAGTGTCAAACTTTCTTTTCCAATGTAGAATGATCAGCAATAACCAAAAATGTGGAGCTTTAGTGTAACTAATTAATATTTGTAATGGGCGTTGATTAGTTTTTCAAAGGGTGAGGCAACAAGATGGCACACAAGAGGCATGTGTCCAGAGCGTGGGATGGATTAGTTGACCTATTTGAGTCGTGCCCTCGAAGGACTAAACGGTTCTTGGCTTTTCCATTACACGTTCTCAGTCAGTCTATTGATTTTTGCTTTTTTTTTTTCGGCCAATCTACAAAGTCTATTATACCATCTCACTCCACAAGGAAAGGACAGGAGGAACTTAATTGGAATGGAATGTAAAAAGGGCTATAGAGGGAAGACCGGCATTTTCTATTAACATTCAGGCTGTTTCATACTTTCATTTCTCATTTCTACTGATATTCTGGGTTCAGCCTCGCCTCTACGATTTTGCGAAATCCCCCACCCCACCCTAACAGAGAAGCCCGCCATCTTTTCCTCATACTTCCACAACTTAACCGTACATAAGATCACTGTCATGTCAATATTCTCCAAAGAGCCTGTACTCGTGGATTCTAAAAAATTTTGTGTGTATGTTGCTTGTATTCAGGGAAAAGAAAGAGAGAGGAAAAAAAAACAAGAGGGTAGACAACGGGGGTGTGACTAGCAAATTTACCAAAATTGGATCAGCAATAATAATGTACAGTGAAGAATACCCAATACAGGGTGCTAACTCTGCACTACACCATGGGTTTCAGGCTAGAGATGCTGGCAGTCAGCAGCTATTCATTCGGGCGTGGGCTCTGGCCGACATGCAAAAATTCCTTTGTATTTGCAATGAAACTACTGCTCATTTTGTACAATCTTAGTGACAACACCAAGCGCTATCGTTCTCCCTGATGCTCTAAGGGATACCCTTCCTAAGGCTTTACATCTCGAGTATTCTTCAACGCAGACCTGCTCTTCCAGAGCCACCTAAACATGAGAAGCAAAACAAACCATCAAATTCTTTAAATGCTTGCGAGTATATCGCAAATTGGCGAACCAACGATAATCACAGGCTCTCTCCTTCCGCAAGAAGAGAGAGAGAGAGATAGAAGCATTACTGGAAATTGTACAAACCTCAATTACAGCATTCTGCTTCGATAACAGACATCTTGGCGACTTCTTTGACACCTTTCCAGTCTTTGGGTCAAGCAGGGACAAAATCTTGACAACTCTAGCTACCTCCTTTGTGTGATGTATGTGAAATTCCAACTATCCATTCCACAAATATTATACACATAAATATCTAGAAGAAATTGAATGGACAAGTAATATCCAGGACGAGAATCTTAAATTAAATTAAGTTCCACCTGAGAACCAATCAGAATTGGAGTTGTAACATCCAGCACAACAATCTTTAATTCGAAATGCTTAGAAACTGCAACAGGGAAATCAGGGTGACACAACACACCCCAGCTGTCACTCGATTCGGATCAACACCTTGCAGACTGACTGTCACATTATCTCCAGCTCTCGCAATGTTGCAGACATGGTTGTCCCGTTCCAAAGAACGCACTGTTGCTATTTCTCCAGATGGCATAACTAAAACCTATGCCAATAAACATGACTGAAAACATTAAAACCAGCAACTGTTTCTAGAAACTCAAATCACTCTGCAGTCTCCAAGCCACCTAAACCTTAGAAGTTACACAACAATGATTGAGATAGACTGGAGCGAAGTACTATAGCAACCCAGAAAAGAGAACCATGGTCAGGCAAAAGAGGGAGAGGAAACCACATTAAGAGGGCCAAATCAACTGCACAATAAAGAAAGAAGAAAGCTTGAGAAATGGAGAAAATGGTAGTCCATGTCTTGTCCCTTGCTTCGACCGACTTAACTTACAGCACGATGGTTTTACATATTATTGCCACTATCACTAGGGCTTTTAGTGTTAGTTGCTAGTTGATATGTCTGAGGCTGATTATATGCGTATGGTTGGATAAAGCTTTGAAACTCTGTACTTAACAAAATGGAAAAGAAGAAGGCTTTCAATCAGATGAATGTGAAAGATCAATAGAGATGAGCATCTGAAAATTCTTCTTGCCAAAATAAGCCCATAAAGTTGGATATAAGCAAACCACTGCCAACGTCAAGAATCCAGAAAACCAAAATTTTTTTCACCCTAGAAATTTCAAGGACAGTATGAAGACGGTATGATATCAACTAACAAAATTTTCTTTTGCAAATGACAACTGAAATTAGCCATCAATATTTACCTTGTATCCAGAACGAAGAGCTCCATTCTCCACTTTGCCCACTACAGACAGTTGTCCTTGTGATTGTGACTTTATAACATCACAAATTGGCAGAAGTAGAGGCTTTGATAGTCCCTAACAGGAGGCTGGAGAGAATCTATTGCATCCAACAGACAAAGTCCCTGGTACCTGCAAAGTCCAATCACCCTAACTTTTCAGCAACTATAAACATGATTAAAGTTCTGTTCTCTATACATCTGATTAACCAGTTTTTGGGAACACACCATAATTAAAAGGCTACTAAAAATATAGTTTAAAATGGTCATTGTGTCAAACAAGAAAAGAAGAAAAATGTTTCAGAAATTCATGACATCAATTCGGTATAGTGGGGCTAGATGAAATTCTAAACTCACATTGAAATACTTAAATTGAGTTACAAAGCAGATAGGATGACATCCATATCAGATTCACAGAGAACTAGTAAAATTAGACTATCATTCCTGACCAAGAAGGATACACTATAAATTGCTCTCCCTTCAAATTTAGCTATCCTTATGAATTTTAGAAGACGAAGGACTTCAGAGAAGGCAAGCACAAGTAAACTAACCAGGATAATCGTGTATCAGAAGGAACATCAACCAAATTTTGGTTTTCCATGGCACTCATGGGAATCCACAATATAGAAGATTCCTTGAAACTGCAGGAGCGAAGAAATACACCCAGCTTCTGCTTAATAATATCAAATCTCTCCCTGGAGTATTCCACAGCATCCATTTTGTTAACTGCAACTATAATCTGATCTGCGCCAAAGCTTCTAATCAGTTGTGTGTGCTCCCTTGTTTGCCCTCCAGAAGCATCCATTCCTGCTTCAAATGCACCCACTGAAGCATCAATAACAAGATTGCAGCATCAGCCTGTGTTGCCCCAGATATCATGTTTGGAACAAAGTCTTTGTGGCCAGGTGAGTCAAGTAGAACAATGTGATATTTTTTGGTATCGAAGAATGCAACAGCTACAGTCATAGTTATCCCCCTTTCTCTTTCTTCAGCACTCTCATCTAATGCCCATGCATAAGCAAAGGACCCTTTTCCCTGATAGAACAACATAGGGTTCACCAATCTTAGAAGCCAACCTACCATTATGAATATAACAAATGCTAGCTTAACTACCAGTTGTTTGGCCTCTCTCTCATATTTGTGAAATTCCTTCTGGGATATACGCCCTAAAAGATGCAGCAGTCTTCCTGAGAGTGTGGACTTTCCAGAATCAACGTGGCCGACCTATGAATATAGTAAAAAGAAGATGAATTAAAATTACAGCAAACAGCAGAAATGCACATGGAGAGATATCTATTAGTCGCAAAAGGAAAACAAATGGATAACTTACAATTGCGAGATTTAGTTGACTCAATTTATCTTCAATCTGGTCAGGAAGCATCCATTTCTCAGGTTTAAATGGTGCACTTGCCAAAGCTCTTGCACGATTGGCATTTTTTGCACTTCCAGACTTCGAAGATTGACATCTTCATCATATCACCAGAAATGATTTGAGGTTTGCCCTCAATCTTCAAAAGAGGACCCTTCTTCTTTGATGTTGATGGAAGAGCTATCATGCCCTTCAATACTTATTTCTCTTTCTACTTCAATCTTAAGCTCTTTTTCTTTTCTAGAAACATCTGGCGATGAAGAAGTCTTAAAATTGGCTGCAGTAGAAAATAGGCAGCATATCAGGAAGATACATCCTTCCAAAGTTAAACAACACATCATTTCACTTAATGAGTAAAAATGTGAAACATAAAATCGCTTAGTCTTTGCAGAAAAATTTGGCAAAGCTGAGAGCAAATGTATCAGCACAGATGAAAACAATCGCATAGACCAAAGACAAATGAGCCAACATGAAAAGAAGAAAGAGCAGGAAAAAAATGAAACCTTTAGAACCCAGTGTGGAGGAACGCATTCCACTGACACCAAGTCATCTGGAGATGGACCATCAAACTTATAAGGGGCTGCCATAACAAATATACAAGTAAGAACATTCATATATGGATGCTATCCGATGATATGACTCTAATAATGGCCAAGCAAAGGAGCAAAAACTGAGAGAAAGAGACTACACTTTTGGAGTTTGAAAATTTTCCTGTCATTAATTATTTTCCTGTATCAGAGTATGTCCAAACCTATATTAAACTTGTATTTGTTTTGAGAGCTAAAAGCCCTATGGAAATCATGAAAGTCCCCAAGTATATTTCCAGGTTCCCCTTTCAAAAGAGCACCATTCATTGCTTCAAAGACTACGGCCTTTTTGGGTTTGTGTTGCGGCAATGATGCAAAAAGAGACTTGGCCATTATGGATACTGCAGAGTCTTTGCATATGCCACCAACTGCATAGAAACGATCTACTCTATGAAGGAGCTAGCAAATTTAGATACAAATGAATAAAAACAGAGATAAAAATAGGTCTCGTTGGGCAAATTAGAAGCAAGCTATCGGTAAACCACTCCCCATTGTTTAAAGATCAAACTCGATCATAACAAGGAAATGAAAAAACTGAACAAGAAGGGTTCAAACTCCTGTTTCTTTTCACTTGAATAATAGTTCTTACAGCAGCGTACTCTTACAAATAGCATTGCATACATGTCAAAAAGTATATAGAAAATGATACAGAGTATTTGAGGAGGTGCTTACCTGGGCCAGAACTACTCTTATTATGGCCCTTAACCAGTGGATTACGAAGGACCCCACATATTTCACATGCAGACATATCATCTTCATTATCATATGTACATATTGGACAGCGCCAAATCCCAATCTTCGCTGCTTCTTGTATTTCCTTAGTCTCAGGCACTACACCTGTTTCAGTAGTTATCACCAAGCAATTAATTCAATTTGGAGAAGATTTTTAGTTGTTAGGTCCGAAATTAGAATATAATACAAGTAGGTCTACATAGCATTTGATTGGTGGAAAAATTTGAAAGCTGTTTCCTAAAAGATTTCCATTGAAGAAATCGCCCTTGCAGTGCAATAACTATCTGATATATATATCCATAAATGTGTACCCTACAAATATGCAAAACACAACACCATAGAAATGAGATAAAGCAAATCCTATTCCAGATTTGATCTTTAAAACAAGTTCCCCATTGCTAGTAATTTATCCACAACAAGAAACCATAAGCTTAGCAATCACATACTCATTGTTATGTCAGAAACATAGATGATAACTGAGGGATGAGCATTCCACAACAGACCTTCTAGGAATAGCAATCCTTATCCATCCAAACAGAATCTTGGCTCTTAACTCCATTGATTTTGAGAATTACAAATTCTTTCCTTACATATACAGACATATTACATGAAAGATGTATTATTAGATTTGTTACACATGCGATACGACAGTGAAAAAAGACCTTTTGAGAAAAAGTTAACAACCCTTGCAGGAAGTTGCTTATTATGGTTAGTATTTAATTTTAGAAAATGAATTCGTACTCTTCTCAACCAAGACATAATTTGCCTTATCCTATAGCATCCTGCTGCTCACTTTACCAGTCTCCCAACTAATCATGCTTTATTCAAGATGTAATGCCCAAATTCCACATAAGTTGCACCCTATCCAGATGTACTTCTACTTCTCCTGCTTCTGAGATTGTCCTCCCTAGTTATTCACAAATCCATGTAAATTTCCAAAATCACATTTTAATCTAGAAAACAGTACCAAAAGAACTTTTTCGTCTACTTTCTTCCCGATAGCTTAATGCAAAAGAAAATTGTGGACTCTTAGAACTTTTACTCCAAAGGACCTGAAACTTCAAGTCACAAGTACAGGTAAAACTCTGACCTGTTTGCCAAAATTTCCATGCCAAAGACAGTATAAGCCCCGCATTTAGCGGGTGAGCAAGAAAACCAAGTTGAAAAGACAATCTTTACCATTTTCCTTGGCATTGTAACCATCATCATAGTCATTCTCGTTGTCATAGTACTCATAATCTTCATACGCATCATAGTCATCTTCATAATCAACTCGATAATTTCCCTTACGAGGCATCTTGCTAATTTCTGTCAAATGACAAAAAGAAAGCTTACGTTAAAATTCCAGAATCCCAATGATATGCAAATTTTACATGTGAAAGGCTAACCAATTTCCAGAAACAACATACCTTAACGTTGATTTTTACTTAAAATTGTGTTAGAACATAGACATCCTGGAAAGCTGATGAAAATGCAACCCACAATAACTTTTCAACCTACATTCAATCAACTCGCAATCCTTCCATTCACTTGATCAACAAATCTCACAATTTCCGCTGCTCTTAAACAGAATTCCTGTAACGCTCCACAGTTGTGTAAGCTGCAGGAAAATAGAATTGTAAAGCCTCTATTTAGTAGCAATAATTTCTACTTCATTCTCCCGAATACTAATACTACTACAATTCTTGATTACTAGTGAAACATAATTCAACACTACTTCTAGACCAAATTCAGTAAATTTACAACAAGCCCACTAAAACGAAATCAAAATGAGCAGAATTAAGATAATTAAATTGCGCCCACAACCCAAGTCATCATTTTTTTTTTCTTTTTAGGAATAAAAAACCCAGCTCTAATTTAGGCCACGGAAGTCATTTGGCTATTGGGTTGCTCCAAAATGCTCATACATTGCCGCAGGATTTTGATGGGCGTGCAGCTATGGGCACTTGAGGACAGTTAAAAGAATAAAAAAGATTAGGGTTTTAGTAAAGACATGAAAACCTGGAAGAGGAGAGAAGGAAGGCTAAAGATTTACTCCACAATTTTCTTCTGGAAGGCCAAAGCCCTCTTTCCAGCTGGTGACAAGTGGTGCTTTTTGGCTGATGTTTCCTTTGCTTATTTATGGCTATCTTAAGCTTCTAGCAGTCGGTGATCTTCATTCTTCTCTTCTATGGATCTCTTCACCTTTATTTCTACTCTTCCCCTTGTTCTTTCCTTATTGATTGATTTGCGATTTTGTATTATAGTATGTGCAACATCCATAAATCTAACCGAAGCAATAACCAAACTAATAAAATCCATATTAATATTAATAATAACAATAACAGTACAAGTGCAACATTGTTAGTATTTTATATTGATTTTGTTTTCTATTTTTATTTTTGAAAATCATGTTAAATTATTTGGCATGTGATAGTAATTGTGTTTGTGTCAAGAAAAAATCCACTTTTTTTTTTTTTTATATTTAGTATCTAATGAACAAGATAGTGATGTGGTAAAGTACTACAAACAGTAATGAATAAGTTAAAAGATTAATTACACGAAAATTCTTTTTCAACTTTCAATTTTATATACTCAATTTTTGTGTCATAAAAGAATAAAAGAAGAAATTTCCTTCCCTACATTATTTGGGAAGAAGCTAAACTATTATTATTACTATAAGTATTTATAGAAAAGTATATTATAACGATTTGATTTATATCAAATAAAAAAATAATTTAAAAATATGCACGTGATAAACATACAAATTTTTTTATGAAAAATTACAATTCAAAATATAACGAGATCGCACCACAATTAAAAGCTCTGAAATATGAACCTCGACAAATTGTGAGTTTGTTCTAGTTTTAACGTTCATATTTGTTCCATCAAATATAAGAGTTTAATTTGAATAAGTTGTACGAATTCGTTTTACCCATTTTACAGTTATGAGTTGCTTACAAATTATCGGGTCTGTTTGGATTGTAAGTTATTTGGGATTATTTGATATATTTTTACTGTAGCACTTTTTGTGATATGATGTATGTGAGATAAAAAGATATTGGGAAGATAAAAAGGTGTATTGAAAATTATAAAGATGATGTAAGCAAATAAAATTGAGGAAATATGAAGCAATCCAAACAAATCATTTCAGTTTGCTTATTGCACTGTGACAAATCATTGGCTCCATTAACAAAAATGATTCCATCAACGATGAGTTCAAGCTCCAATGACTCCACATTTCAGCCAAAAGTCGTGGTATTTGATAAACTCGTGCAGCTTCAAACGACTTTATTTGAAAAGCTCACGCACCAGTTTTTTTCTTCCTTCTCCCTCATTCCTTCAGCCTTCAGAACCCTCTCATGATCATCATGGCATCCCAAAAACACACACTCACACACTAAACCTCATCAAACTCCATATAATCGGACGTTGTCTTCAATTCATTAGCCTTCCCCAAATTTAATGGCCGGAGGTCCTTCACTAATGGATTCCTTGTTCCAACGATCCTTGGAGGATTTAATCAAAGGCCTCCGTCTCCACAACCTCGCTGCCGGCACCGCTGCCGGAACACCCGAATCCTCCACTTTTCTCTCGAAATCCATCGATGAGGTTCGCCGCGAGATCAAATCAACAGACCAACAAACCAAAACCACCGCGCTTCAAAAGCTTACCTATCTTCACTCCCTCTATGCCATCGACATGTCCTGGGCCGCTTTCCATGCAATCGAGCTCTCCTCCTCCACCATCTTCAATTCAAAACGGACCGGTTATCTTGCCGCCTCGATTTCCTTCAACTCCTCCACGGATGTCATACTCCTCCTCACCCATCAGCTCCGGAAAGACCTCAATTCGGGCAACCCCCATGAGGTAAGCCTCGCTCTTCAGACGCTTTCTTCGATTTGTACTCCCGATTTAGCACGCGATTTGACGCCCGAATTGTTTACTTTATTGAATAGCAATAAGGGGTTTATTAAGAAGAAAGCTATTGCTACTGTTTTGAGGGTTTTTGAATTGTACCCAGATTCCGTGAGGGTGTGTTTTAAGCGATTAGTCGAGAATTTAGAGAATGCTGATGTGGGTATTGTTTCCGCCATCGTTGGAGTGTTTTGTGAGCTAGCTAATAAAGAACCTAGATCGTATTTGCCTCTAGCCCCCGAGTTTTATAGGATTTTGGTGGATTCTAGGAACAATTGGGTTTTGATTAAGGTTTTGAAGATCTTTGCCAAGTTGGTGCCTTTAGAGCCAAGGTTGGGGAAAAGAGTTGTGGAGCCGATTTGTGAGCATTTGAGGCGTACTGGGGCAAAATCGTTGGCTTTTGAGTGTATTAGGACGATTGTGTGTAGTTTAACTCAGCATGAGTTAGCCGTGAAGCTTGCAGCTGAGAAGATTAGGGAGTTTTTGACTGAAGACGATCCGAATCTTAAGTATCTTGGATTGCAAGCGCTTGCTGCTATTGCACCTAAGTCCTTGAATGCTGTTGTGGAGAATAAGGAGGTTGTGATTAAGTCCTTGAGTGATGAGGATGTCAATATTAAATTTGAGGCCCTAAGGCTTGTAATGGCTATGGTTTCAGAGGACAATGTAGCAGAAATTTGTAGAGTTTTGATTAATTATGCACTCAAATCTGACCCAGAATTTTGTAATGAGATCCTAGGGTCTATCTTGTCAACTTGTTCGAGAAATTATTATGAGACAATTGTTGATTTTGACTGGTATGTTTCACTTCTTGGGGAAATGGCGAGGGTTCCACATTGCCAGAAGGGAGAGGAAATTGAGAACCAGCTTGTAGACATTGGCATGAGAGTTAGGGATGTTAGACCGGAGGTTGTTCATGTTGGGCGTGATTTATTGATTGATCCTGCGTTGCTTGGAAATCCTTTCATCCACAGAATTTTATCTGCGGCTGCTTGGGTTTCTGGGGAGTATGTTGAATTCTGCAAAAATCCATTTGAGCTCATGGAAGCATTATTGCAACCAAGAACCAATCTTTTGCCACCTTCAGTGAGGGCTGTGTATATCCAGTCTGCATTTAAGGTATTGACATTCGCTGCGTATTTTTATTTCTATCCAGAAGAAGCTCTTGCTGCATCTATCTCAGGAGTGGGAGAGTCTGTACACAATGGTTGGTGTGAACAAAGTTCTGATTCTGTAAGTGGTCAAACTGTTACTTTTAGTGAACCAGATGAGGGGTTTAATCCAAGAATGCTGCATCAACCGCAAAAAGATGCTTCTGGAAATGATGGGAAGAAAATGATTAGCGATCTTGAGCAGGTGTCTTCCTGTTCTGTGAAGATGGGTCATTTCACCAAAGATTGTTTGGTTGGGATGGTAAATCTTGTTGAATCAACACTGAGACCAATGGCAGGTAGTCATGAAGTGGAGATACAGGATAGGGTGAAGAATGTCCTTGGTTTGATTGAGTTGATTCGACAAGAAATACATGGTTGCTTGGTCCCAAAGGAAGAAGAAAATGATAGGGGAGAACTGAAAGCCTGTGAAATTGTCAGAGTGATGCACGATGCCTTCTCTGAAGAGCTTGGGCCAGTTTCGTTGAGTGCTCAAGGCAGGGTGCCTCTTCCTGATGGTTTGGAGCTTAAGGAGAATCTCAGCGACTTAGAAGCAATATGTGGTGATTTTAGAATACCTGTTTTGAGTTCATTTTCCCTTGAAAAACCTCGATCCCTGGAAAAGGATGTGGTTACGGTTTCTGACCAACAAAATGAGGAAGAGTGCGAACCGTCAAGTGAGTCAACATCTCTACTCACGGAGCATCGCAAACGGCATGGGATATATTATCTTCCTTCAGAGAAAAAGGAAAAAGTTCCAAATGATTATCCACCTGCTAATGACCTCAGTATGCAAGATAAAGTAAATGATGAGGTAGATTATCTGGTTAAACTTACAGAGAAATCACTTGTCCCTAAGAAAAAGCCAATAGCAAAACCTAGGCCTGTGGTTGTAAAATTGGATGATGGAGATAGAATACACATCAATGAGACGCTACCTGAGCTGAAAGAGGATTTAATCTCTGATGCTGTGCAAGAGGTACTTCTAGGCAGTCAAGCTGTGGCATCATCGTCACGGACTGACAAGTCTGACAAATCATCAAATAGGCGAAGTAGGAAGGAGACCTTTAGGCCTTTGGAATCAAATGCTGATTCAACAACTGTGGAGATTGCTGAGCTTGGAAACAAGAATTCTAGAAGGATCAAACACCGTACTCATGGTAAAGAGAGAAGCCATAGAAGTTCAAAAAAGGCAACTGGTGAATCTGATCGATCAGATAGGCCTAATAGTAGTCATCCCCATGGCAAGCACAAGTCACGGCAAAGAGCAGATGGAATGGAGAATGTGGCAGCAGAGTCTCCGGTGATTCCTGATTTTCTTCTATAGCATTAGAGGACTGGGGTATTTTCTCTCACCCAGAGATTGACTATCCTTGTATTAAACTTCTTTTTGTCTGAGGTCAGTTTTCTTGTAAATTGTATAGAAATTTTTTCCCTAAAAGAAATTGTGGTTTGTTTCAAAATTTTCATTTCCTTTGTTGATTTTTTGTGTACGATAGAATTCATTCAATACAGAATGATTTTGGTTTGAGCATTTCTTGATCTTGCTGCTTGTCAGATGAAATGTGTCAAGGATTGATGGTTTTCTTGTTTTTATTTGTATATGCTCCTGTTCAAAGCCTCAGTTGATATTTATTTGCTTGCGGAATCCTAGTGAAATAACTAATACTTTTGTCACCCTAAAACTGGGAAAGGAATCCTATTGAATAACTAGTACTTTGTCACTCTCAAACTGGAAAAGGTACAGCTTTTAATCTTTGCGTCTTTTACCAGTTGGTGAGTGAATGCTTTTGAGTGGTTAGGAACCACTCAAAATTGCTGTCTGATACCAAAATTGCTGGTCAGGGTACAGAAGGGGCAATTGGTATATTCTTTTCGAGCAACAATCAAACTCTTTTAATTAAAGACTAGATCGGAAGATTGTACAAGAGGTAGAAACCTCAGTTACATCAGAAGTACTCTATTCTATTACACAAGACAATTAAATAATGTCCCCATTCTAATACTAAGTACCAATTTTCCTTCATGCGAGGATGGCCAGCCTGGTAGGCAGTAACCGAGGAGGTCCGGAACTAGTGGCTAAGGTTAAGACTCTAAGAATTAGAGGTCATAAATTCAAAATTTTTGTACCCCTCTCCTCTTCTTAAATCCCCTCTTACCCTCCTCGTCTGGGGGAAAAAAATAACCGAACAGTTTCAAATATGATTAATAGAAGA